TCCGCAGAATGTAGCTGTAACGGCCGAGTCTGATCGTATATTTAAACTGGTTTGTCACGGGATGAAGGTCACTGCGCACCAGCAGCTTTCATGTATGACTGACTCAAAGTAGCTGGACTGTGTGTGGATTAGACTGTTCCACTGGTGCCAGTCGGTCAGCCGGAGGAAACGTCTTCAGGAGGCCAGGGGTGATCTCAGAGGATTACATAACCGACACGGACGGAGAGGAAATCAACTACTGTAGTGGGTGGAATCAGGCGTTGATCGGTTTTAGTTTCTGCTTCTTGCAGTCGGTAGGGAAATACAGTGATGCTTTCCAAAGTCTGTTTTCAGTAGTAAGACATCTTTTTCAGCATCCCGTAAAAGATGAATCACTGCTTCAGACGTAGCCTCACTGGGGTTTTATGTGGCTGTGAACCTACAGTTTACTGGTCACTAGAAAAGGATGTGAACGCGCATATAAAGCCACACACAACCCGAAGCCCAGCCTCAATGGGAGAAACAGACATATCAGCTAGATGTCAGGCGAAATCAGCCTTACTCTAATGGTTAAAAACAAACGGATTAGGAAAAAACAAAACAAAATGCTTTTTGTCAACAGTCGCCTACTGTGCGCAATTACGCATGACGCGAGCGTCTGCGGAGGATAGCGACATGGAGGGAGCGGTGCCGCCGTGTTTCAGGCGTGTTCCGTTGTATGCGTTTGTCCTGGACGGTGACAGGGCTCACGGGTGGTTCACTGGCTCCATGACAGGTTTAGGTGGAGGCAGGCAGCAAACGGAGCCTGGGAGCAGAAACAGACGTCAGATCAGCCTCTGCTGTGGCGGATTGCATCATCAGCAGTGTCCCAGTTTCAGGCTTCCAGGAAAAGTGATGCGTGAAAGAAATAAACTAGTTTCTCGGTATTTGGTATCACGAGAAGTCATGTTTGCTCCCCACGTCTTCAGGGGGGCTGCCTTCAGACATGGTTTTAGGGTTAAAGGCAATTACTTTTAATATTAGAGGTTGGGCAGCAGCGATTAGACAGACTGTGTGTGTGTGACCGACTGACGGACTCAGACCCGAGAACCGTAATGGCTGAACATGGTGCATTGAAACTGAAATGTTCCCAGTAAGATTAGACATGTACAAGTAGCTGTGAAAACTTTTTATGGAGTAGCTGACTACTGCCTAAGCACAGACAGCTGATGTCTTATCTCCACCAAGGAGTTTGTTTGTTCACAGCAGAACTAAAGTGATGAATGGATTTTGTTGCTGATCCCAATCATCATCTGGATCCAGGAATTTAAAAAAATGTCCTTTTTTAAGATGTTCTTCACCAGTTTCAATACTGTTCCTTCTAACTCTTTACATAATGCCTACGAGGCTTGGACAAAACCTGTACAATAACACCCGGTAACGTCTACCACACGAAGTCTGATCTGGATCCACTTCTTATTCTGGATCCACTGAACCAGAATGGTCACATTTATAGGGTTCACAGAAAACCGGCTGCTGTGAAATAAATAATTCTACAGACCTGCAGCTTGGATCCAGCTTGTATTAATGAACTAACTATATCGATAAGGAGAGGTCGAACTGAAGTGAACAATCGGGATTGGGTTGAGTTGAGCAATGCAGAGCTGAAGTGTCGTCATTAGGTGTAGACAGATGAAGATGGGAGCAGGAAGTAACAGAAGACTCGCCAAAGATCTGTTTGTGAAGTCCAAATCGATTTTTAGACCGTTTTTAAAACTTGTTTGGTTCAAGTCTGTGGTTTTTCAATCTGACTCTTGTATTGATTTTCTGATTCGTATCAGTTTCTCTTTACACCATTAAGGATAATCACCTTTATTGGCCAAGTATGTTACACACAAGGGATTTGTTTCTGGTACAGAACCGATGGCTCTAACCATCAGGGGGCAACGGGGGGGTTCAGTGTCTTGCCAGCACCGACATTCGAGCCTTCAACGCTCTGGTTGGGAGACGACGGCTCTACCCACTGCACCACCGTCGCCTCCCCCGACAGCCAGTGATGGAAACATTAAGTCAAGGACTGTGCTTCGATCCAGTTCAGACAGCTACCGTCTAGTTTACAGACTAAGAGTTCACATAAAAACATCACCAGTTTATAGAATAGTTTGCTACTAGGATTTAAATCTGTTAAACCTCAACTCAAACAAAATGCATTCATTTCATTTGCTCCTAATAATAATCCAGTACTTTTACTTTTGGTACTTAAAGGGCATTTTGTATTTTGCTGAAGTATTGTTGTGAGTATTTTACATTGTAGTACTTTTCCATAAATGCTTGTCCCTGAACCAAACCACTCAGGTTGTCGGGCCTTTCACAGCACTTTGGATTATAACTTATAGATAGAATTGATTATCTCTCATCAAGTTTATGATTAGAGATAGATGGATATAGTTAATAGATGGAAAAAGTCAAGAGTGGCACTAACAGCGCTGTAAGATTATTTGGGGCAATTTATCTAAAAAAACTGTTTGACTCATTTATTCTGCTTGTTGATGGCAGTTTTAGAAATTTGAAAAAGCTTTTGCTTGTTGATCTTGGCATTAAAACCTGTACATTTAAGCTGCTGAAACATTGTCTATCAGACTATCGTCTCTGGATGTGACATTTCAGCAGATGTTTTTCCACCGTCAGCCTACAGCCATGCTGCTGGCTCTGTGAAAACCTTTGCAGGACATTGAACTAAATGCTAACACTAGCATGCTAACACGCTCACAGTGCAAAAAACTGATATCATCAGAATCAGAATCAGCTTTATTGGCCAGGTGTGACGGACACACAAGGAATTTGACTCAGGTACATCGTCTCTCAATGTGCAAACAGTAAACCAGCATAAGGCTGTGTAATATAACAAAATAGTAGTATTAACACCAATAACCAGTAAACAATGCAGAATAAGCAGTATAAACAGACAGTAAACAATACAGACAACAAAGGAATGTTCATTGAAATGAGATAAATAGGGATAAAACAGAGTTCTTAAAGCTAGAGACCTGTACAAGTCTCTATAATCTGTACATGTATATTTACAGGTATTGCACTGAGGGTTATTGTCTAATTATACTGTCGTTGGTTAAGTGTCCATCAGAGTGATGGCCTGGGGAAGAAACTGTCCTTGTGCCTGGTTGCTTTGGTGCACAGTGACCTGTAATACTGTCCAGAGGGGAGGACGCTGAAGTCTGTACTTGTCCTGTTTGGTTGCTGAGCCAAACCAGACAGTGATGTTATCTGAGGGAGGCTGATGCGGATGTCACTACTTGTGAAGGTATTTGTTCATAAAGCAAAACTATGTGGTGATCTGATGATGGCAGCGGGCCAGTGGCCGAACGAGTACTCAGATGTTTTACTTAAGTAAACATAGTAACGCCATAGTGTAAAAATACTTTGCTACAAGTGAGACCCGGGAGCAGCACCTACATGTCGCCAACCTGCAGAGCGTGGAGTGTTGAAACCTGTTCCCCCTGGTAAAACGGTTTCTAGTAGCACCCCCACTGGTGGTTATGGTTAGAATAACCAACTGTGGGGAGGTGACAGTGGTGCAGTGGGTAGAGCAGTCATCTCCCAACTGGAAGGTGGAAGGTTCCAATCTCAGTGCCTGCAGTCCACATGTTGAAGTGTCCTTGGGCAAGACACTGAACCCCCCCCCCGTTGCCCCCATATGTTAGAGCCATCAGTTGAGTTGGCGCCACAGATGGCTGCCATCGGTTCTATACTGGAAACAAATTCCTTGTGTAACATACTTGGCCAATAAAGGTGACTATCCTATAAGGTTAGAGGAAACACCTTCTCCAGAATGGTCAGACCAGTTCAGTTTAATCTCCAGGTGTGTCAGCGCTGAGCTGACTACAACAGACATGGCCTCAGTCCCTTGACTGGAGCCACCATCTCCTCCTGCTACTCAGAACTTTACAATCATTTGGTTGCATTTAACATTTGTTTCAATAGTATTTACATGATGAGATTTCAAAGTGAAGCAGGTACCAGGGCGTACTCTCCCCATGGGACCATGTGGCACGTCCCAGCCAAAATACTAAAAACGTATCCTCAGATACTTGTGATGATCCATTATCAGGTGTCTGTGGTTTCTGTGGTTTTTATGCCTCTGCATTCTTATAATCTAGACTCTGCTTTTCCTAACCCGGGGGTCGTCTTCTTAAAATGTCCAGAATCACATTTTGTGACAAAACCTCTGAATCCTGAACACAGAAGAGTTTCTGGGCTTTATGCTTAAAGAGTTAAACACTGAAGGAGCATGTGGGATGGTGGTGGGGTCACACGGTCACAGAGCCCTCGGGTGTGACAGGCCTGTCATCCCATAATTCACAGGGTTTGTCTCAGGAAACAGAGGAAGGTTCTTGACTAACGCCACACAGGACGAGGACACGGAGTCGTGCTTAAACCCAGCAGTAATGTGTGTTTCCACTAGCTAAGCTGGGGGGTGGGGTGGGGGGGTGCTTTGGGAATGCATGACCAATGCTCTGGACTCATTCATTGACTCAGTGTCACACACACATTTTCACACAGTTCTGGACAAGGAGACCCCTCTTTGCAAACAGGATTCCTGGAGTGTTTTCATCATGTCCTCTGGCTCCTGCCTTCATTCCTCTCTCCCCCCGATCTCCCCCCTCCTCCTCCCTTCACCCCATCCAGCTCCCCACGCCTTTCCTCCCTCTCTTCGTCTCTTTCAGCCCCTTTCTGACTCCTGTTTCTCTCTTGTTTCTCCTCACAGATCTCCAGTGTTTGACTGTCACATTCCTGTAGTTTCTGGGAATTTTTCATCCCTCTGTTTCTGAGGGGGGAGAAGGATGAGAGAGAGTGGGTGTGTTCTGAAGAGATGAGGACCCACTGCTTGCTGGATAGGATATGGAGCTGATCTGAGGTCAAGGCCTTCATCTTTGTCTCCCGAGTCAACGTGAGGCTCAACCCTGGGGTTGCTATCACTGCACTGCCTGACCTACATACCTGTCTACTGTGTAACATAAGCCGCTCAGCCCGGATCGCTCAGCCTGGAGTGGAGACAACCGAGACAGCTTCTTATCAAGTGAATTTGCTTTGTGATCTGTGGCTTGCTTTTCACTGTGGTCACCCTGAGAACCTGACTGCCCCCTCGCCCCACAGAGGTGCCTATCCTGCCGCTGAGTGGACCTGAGGGGCGCACACAGTTTGAGACAATCACCTCAGCAAAGCAAAATGCCAGCAAAGACCCCCATTTATTTAAAAACTACAACTCCCAAGAAAGGCAAGAAGGTGAAGCTCCGTGATGTCCTCTCAGGGGACATGATCAGTCCCCCGCTGGGCGATGTCCGTCACAGTGCCCATGTGGGGCTTGAAGGGGAGGGTGACATGTTTGGAGACGTGGGTTTCCTCCAGGGTAAGATGGACATGCTGCCATCACTGAGCCGAACACAGAATGGTCACGCACGCTCGCACAGCGTGGAGAGACACGTGGACGAAGGCCTCACCGTGAAGGAGGACTCGCACAGCTACGCCCACAATGGTTACTACTGTCAGCATTCCTCGTCCAGTTTGCTGAAGACCACCATCTCGGTGCCAGTGTTTGCCCATGAACAGGCTCCACCCAAACCACCACGCCTCCACCTGGACGACCCCTCCCCTCCCTCTCTGCCCTCCCAGCAGAACCACTTCTACCACCACCAGCAGCCGACAGAGACCGGACGCTCTGTGCCCGACAGGCACAGGCAGCAGTACCCGACTCTTTCTCTCTGTGAGAATGAGGTGGTCGACTGCTTGGCGTCGGAGCCCGCCATCCGCAGGCTCGTCCCCTCCTCTGGCTCCTTCTCAGAGGTCTCCTCTGAGGACTCCATGTCAGAAAGCTGCGGGCCCCTGGATGTTTGCCGGGGCCTCAGCCTGGACTCTGATGCTGACCTGAGCAACGAGGATCTGAGGAGTGAACACAGCGAGTCTCCCTGTGCTGCTGTCCACCCGGCCAGTCTCACAGCCTCAACCGGTGTGTCCCGGTCAGAGTCTATGGTAGGATTAGACCTGGATCTGGGCCCATCCATTCTGGAGGATGTCCTGGGTATCATGGACCGCTACAAGACTGTTGACAACCGCTGTGAGCTGTGAACCAAGGCAACATTAATGTGATGTGCAGATATTTTTATATATGGTTTAATATATCCCTAAAAACTGAAGAGACTAAAGGAGGACGAGGGATGGAGCGCACAGAACCGGTCGGCTGAACTGAAAGTCGTAAAGACTGAGAGGCTTGTGGAGATGACCTCAGCCAAGGCAACAGGCTGGTGTCCTCAGAAATATTTAAACTGTAAGACAGCTGTGAACAGAACCACAGTCACTTTGTTATGACAAACCTTGGAACGGTATTTTCTTTCTCTTTGGACTAAATATCAAATATCAGCCACTATCCACATTGTGCTGGGAGTTTTCTGCTTGTTAGCTGCCCGCTAATTCAGACCTACATGTCTGGGCTCACAGAGTTCAGGAGCGGCAGGAGGCCACGGTGCAGCCGCAGCTGCTAAGTGATTTCTTTCCATGTATGATGTCCATGTTTCTGCAGCAGCGTTGAAATTACAGAGTGACACTAAGATGAACTGCAAACACAAACAGTTTCATGCTGTTCAACTTAATTTTGGCTGCTAAAATGTCATTTTCAGGATTAAACTATTCCAGAAGAAGAAGATGAATATTACTGTGACGCTGCAGTGCCAGGTGAAGTGAGAAGAACTGCTGATTTTACTGCTCCTCTGCTGCAGGTGAGGCGAAAACAGTCTCAGCCCGCCCTCTAGTGTCACTGTGCAGAACAGCAGCTCCGACACATCTTGATCAGAGGGAAAGTGAACAAGCTGATTCTTCTGGTTTAAAATGCTTCACGTGTAGAATGCTGCTCTGTGGATCATTTTCAAATACCAAACTTTTTAAAACACTATTCTTCCAGGTTGTGGCTCGCTGTCGGCCAAACATTCACTCCCTGTATTATCTCACTAGCCTATTATTCAGAAGTCATTTATGCTGTATATATTACTGTATGAATGTATGAATAAAACATTCCTATAAAGAAAACTTTGGATTCATGGACAATTCTTCACACATAAACATAAACAGGAGGTTACTGTGAGATTTTAAAAATCAAGGGGATGATATAGACATTGATAAAACTTAGCAAATAATGGATTTGATTTCACTGCAGGCACATCGATGAGGAACTAGTTTAATGGGAAATACTTTTATTTTTCACTAGTCTAAAAAGAGTTTTACCAAAAACCAGGGACAGTTTTCATTTTCTGCTGTTTTATACAAACAGTGTAAATATAAAACTTTATTGATCCCTGGTGGGAAATTCACAAGCTACCCAGCAGTTCATAAAGTACTTCAAATTATAAGTTTATAGGTAATTAATGTTGGTTCTACCTTTACTGGCTGCAACATTAAAGTGATGAACACAGTAATGTGTCAGTAATTATAATCCAATACTATGTGAAATGTGCCTTTCAGCATAATGAGTAGTTTTAGGTTTGGTAGACTACTTCAAATATATTTTGATGTCAATACTTTTGTACTTAAGCAAAAAAATAAACCATGAATACAAGACTTTTACTTGAAACTAGTATTTTTATACTTCAGTGTTGATGTTTGTTTAAGGGAACATTTGAATACTTCTTCCACCACTGGCTGTAAAGACATGGGCTGTGGATTTGTGTAATATTCTGCCTGAAGGCAGGCAGAACAGCACTTAGCTGCTGTTGCCTCACAGCAAGAGGGTTCCGGGTTCGAGCCCCATCCGACCCAAGGCCTTTCTGTGTGGAGTCTCCATGTTCTCCCTGTGCCTGTGTGGGTTCTCCCTGGGTACTCCGGCTTCCTCCCACAGTCCAGTGAGTGTGAGTTGTCTGTCTCTAAGTGTCAGCCCTGGGACAGACTGCCGACCTGTCCAGGGTGGACCCCGCCTCTCGCCCAGTGTCAGATGGGATTGGCCCCTGCGCCCCCGCGACCCTCTTTGGGAATAAGTGGTGTAGATGATGGATTATGCTCGAAGAGGGGGATAAAAGTTGGCTCAAGGAATTTAAGCGTCACTCTGTGGAGGGCGCTAAGGAGCAATAGGGGCGTTTAAACTGCCAAATACAGAGAACAGAGAAGAAGAACAAGTCTACGACGAAGAAGAAGGTTCATTTAGCTAATACTGCGCCGTGCTTCAAAGTTATTAATGACTCTTTTAAAATATCACAAGTGAGCCAAGAAGAAGAGGAGCAGCTGTTTATACGTGTCTCAACATGAAGTGAGTGTTTTTACAACTTAAAGATTTCAAATTTAGCGTCATTTGGTTGTTATTGCATTAAATGTAAAAAGACGTAGCTGACAATTTAGCTAAATGATCATAAAACCTGACTGACACTGGTTAATTCAGGCCATTTTCTAAAAGCCCCTTGTTAATTATATATATTATATATGAGATTTCGAGCTAGCGCCCTCATTAGCTTAGCTTCATACACGAGTGTGACGTCATTGACCAGGTTTCACTTTACGGTGTGGAAGAATATTGGAAAGGGTCTGAGATGGTTGTTCTAGTCTGCTGCAGCTAACACTGATGCTGAATCAGTTTTATGTGTGATTGTTGTTCGCGACCTCGATGTTATGTAAAATGGGTTATTTTTAAAAATTGGTTTGTTCACACATATCCACGTTTTCATCTGCTTGTTCAGCTGTTTAATGATATTTTATGGTTTTATAAAGTTGTGACAACCATATGGAATAAATGTCAAATTATTTAACGTGATAAATAATTTTATGCCATATCATCCCTGCTAGTTTTCGTTTTCCATACCCTGGCAGGTGGAACAGGTGTTAAATTGAATTCCATTTAAAATGTAAAACGTGTTGGGTTTCCCTGCACAAAGCCAACACGGTTACACACACTGATACAAACACACAGACTCTGCAGCAGGTGTGAAGTCAGTTTAATGCTGGTTTGTTTCAGGCTCAACATCGAGGGCCTGTTGGTGTATTTTCCCTATGACTACATCTACCCTGAGCAGTACTCCTACATGCTGGAGCTGAAGAGGACGCTGGACGCCAAGGTGGGTGGAGGCTGTATAGCTTTATGTTTATCCTGTAGGGTGCAGGTGCATTTAGTGGGATTTAACAGTGCTGGATAACTTCTTTCATTGCTGCTTGTAGGGCAGCGAAGAAAACACAATGTCACATGATCAAATCAATCAGGTGCATTTGTCAACATCAGTGCTGACAAATCTTTTACTTAAGTAAAAGTTCTAATACCACAGTGTAACTGCACTAGTAGTAGAAAGTCCCACATTCAAAGACGACCCAGCACAGACTCCCAGTGAGGTGCTGGGCCACCATGTGACACCAGAACAGCTCCACCTTGACTCTCCAGGTCTCTGAACCCTCCTGGAGGGATGGACACCTTCCAACAGATGTTCCCTCATGTGGTGTTTTGATGATGGTGGTGGAGACACTGTCCAACACGTCGCTCCAACATCTCCCATAGCTGTTCAACTGGGCTGAGACCTGGTGACTGGGAAGGCCACAGCATCTGGTTCACATCATGGTCACCCTCATCAGACCAGTCAGGGACCCCTGGTGTCCTGTGGATGGGGGGGCTCTGTCATCCTGAAGGAGACCACTCATTAGTTCAGGGTTTTCCTTTAACCGTCCTTATGTCTGTTGAAAGAGTTAGTGGTCGCTGTAGTTGCTCTGTCTTGTCTATACCGGACTCTAAAGAGGCCTCCTCCCCATAACAGAAAACAAAACCCAGCAACTACTGTGATAATCATTTCAGTAACGTTCTCTGGTTCAGGCTTCTCAAGTTAAAAACTGTTTTGTTTTTCATCATTGTTCTGTTGTTTGGTTTTGAACCTGAGCTTGGACCCTTGGAGACTGGTGGGTGTTCTTTTGCTGGTTTTTACCTTTCAGAAAAGCGTGATGAATTAATCAATCAAAAATAATAATAAAGAGCAGATATTAATCGATAATTAAAATAGTTTGTGTTACTCCTCTGTGGAAACTAAACGATGACTTCACCTTCTGATAACGAAACACGAGTCAAGGATGGAGCTTAACGATCCTGGGTTGTAGTTTTTTGCTGCCCCGCTGTGAGGACAGCTTCACAGTGTTAACTCTGTGTCCTCTGTGTGTTCTGCTGTTTATGTTCAGGGTCATGGAGTCCTGGAGATGCCATCTGGAACAGGAAAGACCATCTCTCTGCTGTCTCTCATTGTTGCCTACCAACGGGTGAGTTCACTTAGTTTCTCTCCGACTCACTGTGCTTTCAGTCGATGGCTCGTTCTGTTCTTCCTGTTCTCTCCTCTGGTTTGTGGCACCAGCCAACGCCACAGGAACACGCTAACATGTTGGTCCTCTCTCAGGCCTTTCCTTTGGAAGCAAGCAAGTTAATATACTGCTCCAGAACCGTCCCCGAGATTGAGAAGGTGAGTCCTTGTCAGAATGTTTTCATCACAAAAGTACGGTTTGTCCTTTAAAACTTAAAATCAAACATTAATACAGGCAGTAAAAACATGCAGCTGTCGTAGGATGGTCACATACTTGTATAGCACTTTTTTGTGCAATGAAGCATGCACACAAGCGTTCACACACTCGCACACTGATGGCGCAGCCACCAGGAGCAATTTAGGGTTCAGTGCCTTGACCGAGTACACTTTGACATGTGGACTAGAGAAGCCAGGATACGAAGCACCGGTCTGGTTAGGAGATGCTTTAAAAAACACCCCAGCTTGTATTGTGTATATTTAACCCTTTGTCTGTTTAGGTCGTGGAGGAGCTGAGGAAGCTGATGGAGTTTTATTCCAAGGAAACTGGGGAGAACAACAACTTCTTGGCTCTGGCCCTGTCCTCCAGAAAAAACCTGTGCATCCACCCTGAGGTACGAACACTGTCTGTCGCTCTGCTCACACAGACGTTTGCCCTGTGTGAAGAAAAGCAGGAGGCTGCTTCGGTCGGCGTGTGATGTTTCATGTACTGGTGAGACAATGAAGTAGGATCGAGGAAGGTCCAGCTGGACAAGCAGATTGATGTGAAGCCAAAACGCATCCTCACATACAGGATCATACAACGATTTGGTTACAGCTAATGAATTGAACTTTAACTTCGTTTGTAATGAGCTCAAGGCAGAACTGCAACGTTCAAACTGATCCACCAGGAATGTGTAACTGCGTGTACATGACTGGCTGGTGCGTCAGCGTGCTGGGTAACCTAGTATTGGTTTTTTCCTCGACCACGCTGCGCTGTCCCCTGTGGTTCCCCTCCCCACTGCTTAACAGACTTTCCCCATTCAAATGAATGACGAGGAGTGAAACTCTCTGTCCTTCGTGTCTGCTGTTCACCTAAAACACTTGTTCACGTTGACTGTAACGCGGATCCTCTGCTTTCCTCCAGGTGAGCTCTCTACGCTTCGGTAAAGAGGTCGATGGGAAGTGCCACAGTCTGACAGCATCATACATTCGTGCACAGCGCCACAGCAACCCCAACCTGGCCGTGTGCCGCTTCTATGAGGTAAGAACTCGCATGAATTCAGTCGTTTTGGACCAGCTGGTATTTTTCAGTAAATGAAGAAGTAGCCAAGGCTGCTAGAGGGAAGGTTTGATCATGGCCGGGCACATTTAAAGCCTCGTGTCAGGCCTGATTAAATCCATTCAGTTTTAGGCACCTTTTTGATATTTTATAGTCCAGCGCCCATCGACAACATCAATAAAGAAACATGAAGGCAGCATGTGTTGAAGAGCAGTTACATTGTTGAATCAGGGCTGCAACTAATGATTATTTTTATTTGTTTGTCTTCTAATTATGTTTTCATGGCCCAGATTCCAATGTGAAGTATTTAAACCATTTTGTCTAATAGTTCATAGCCCTAAGATTGATCTCAAACAGAAATAAGAAGCAGCTTGTGGAATCTGTGCTTAAAATGAGACTCAAGCAATAGATCAGTATCTCCCACCTTGTGCTGTGCTGAAGTGATGCACTATCACTGATGATGTGTGTTTGAAGGTGGAGCTGTGAACCTTTATTTAGAATAAAGAAACACAGACTTCTCGTCTCTAACAAAGCTCCAGCTGAATGATGTTAAAAAGTGTTGTCTGTTCCTCTTGTTCCATGACCGTCACTTGTCGTTGTGGTTTGTGGCTGCAGGAGTTTGATGCCGTCGGCCGACAGGTGCCTCTTCCTGCTGGCATCTACAACCTGGATGATCTGAAGGACTTTGGCAGGAGGAAAGGCTGGTGTCCATACTACCTGGCTCGCTACTCGGTATGTTACACTGCAGACTTCCACAGACACGACACCTGAAAACCTTTCTGATGACGGATGTCTCTCCAGATGGCTCTTTTGGAGCATATCAAGGTTTTATTACAGTGAAGAATGAAAAGTAATTTGTATTAATGGCTTTCATTGAGTCTTCTTCACTTCCTGTCAGATCCTGCACGCAAACATCGTGGTGTACAGCTACCACTACCTGCTGGACCCCAAGATAGCCGACCTGGTGTCCAAAGAGCTGGCCAAGAAGTCTGTGGTCGTGTTTGATGAGGCTCATAATATAGGTGAGAAACTGAACCGAGTGTATCACAACGGTGTCAGATTATTTGGTAACTCTGTAATGTTACTCTTCTTCTCTTTTCACTCCACATCTTTCTCCTGTTCCTTTCCCCGTCTCTTCAGACAACGTGTGTATCGACTCCATGAGTGTGAACATCACCAGGCGGATGCTGGACCGCTGCCACAACAATGTGGACACACTCCAGAACACCATACACAAGTAAGAGCCCGCCAAAGGTCAGCGGCACACGGACTGACACGATGGACTCACTGGGTCTGTCCCAGTATCCGCCCTCATGGCCTCATGTCTGCCCATAAACTTCTACGTGCCTGCAGTCTTCAGTTGTCTATTTTTGCATGGATGCCATTAACTTCCCGTCATTTGTGCGCTGACAGGATAAAGGAGACAGACGCTGCAAAGCTGAAGGAGGAGTACAGGCGATTGGTGGAGGGGCTGAAGGAAGCCAATGTTGCCAGGGAAACGGACATCTACCTTGCAAATCCAGTGTTACCGGATGAAATTCTTCAAGGTTGGGCTGTCAGCGGGGTTGCACACGGACTAAATTAATGTTTTCTGGTTTGACTCTTTCACTGCACTAGCTTCACAACGGTATTTCAGACACAGACAGAAAACTGAGCCTCCGTTGCTTTTCCCCGCTCCCTCTCACAGAGGCGGTCCCCGGTACTATTCGCACAGCCGAGCACTTTGTTGGTTTCTTGAGGCGTTTCCTGGAGTATCTGAAGTCCCGTCTGAGGGTCCAGCACGTGGTACAGGAGAGCGCCGCACAGTTCCTCAAGGACATCTTCGAGAAAGTCTGCATCGACCGCAAGCCTCTCAGGTCGGTGTCGGCTTCAGCAGAGCAAGAAAAACGAACCCATCCTTTTCATTAACCTGCCTTTCTGCTCGAGTTCTCCACACAAGCTTCTCATCCCCTTAGCAGCTTCCAATCCGTCTCTACCACCCTCTCGTCTCTCCCCTTTTGTCCTTCTCGTTCACTCACATATTAAATCTACTCACTTCCTAATCTTTCCTCCGCTCCCTCTGTACCTCTTCAGGTTTTGTTCAGAGCGGTTGCAGTCGCTACTACGGACTCTGGAGATCGCCGACATTGCAGACTTCTCCGCTGTTACACTCATCTCTAATTTTGCTACACTGGTCAGCACCTACAGCCAAGGTACTGAAATACTTCTGTACCTATCTTAAGTACAACAACCTGACTGGTAACAGTTCTGGGACTGTGTTGATGTTTTTGCATGTTCTCTGCTTCTGCTGTAAACGTGTTTGTCTTTCCCTGCTGGTGTAAAGGTTTCACCATCATCATTGAGCCCTTTGAAGACAGAACTCCGACCATCGCCAACCCTGTGTTGCACTTCAGGTGAGAACTGACAGCTTAGCTTTAAAAACTGGGAAGTGCTGCTGATTAACGTCTCTTTGGTGTTGGCTTTATAGCCAGGGCAAGTCGACTGAAACTCCGGTTAGAAATACAGATGTGTGCAGAGGTCACTGTTGAACAGGGGTGTGACAAGATCTCACGATGAGTTTCCATTGTGCTTTAGTTAGCCACGCTGCTAACGTAGCCTACTCCACCTCACCACCAGTTCTACAGTTAGCACCTCATGCACAGTCTGTGCACAGTTCTAAGGTCTGAAGAGACTCGTGAAATCATACAGCTCATTCAGAACCCCCCAAAAAGCAAGATGGTTATTGTGACACTGTTTTACACGATGATGGTATCCGTTAGACGTTTCTGTTGGATCAAGGCACTAGTTTGTGGACTCCAGGTTACAGCTGATCAGAGGGATTGATCACATGTAAGAATGGGTAGAACTGCACAGTGTGAAAGTTCTGGTGGAAAAATAATAAACATTTCACTGTTCTGACCCTTGTTTCTCTCCGTCTCTCAGCTGTATGGACCCGTCAATAGCCATCAAACCTGTTTTCCAAAGATTTCAGTCAGTCATCATCACCTCGGGGGTGAGTTGGATCCCACTCTCTCCTTCCTCCCTGTGCAATTTAGACCTGTCACATTCACAATTACATTTTGGTTCTTGGGATGTCTGTCTGCAACATGAACACCACAGCCTGTCTGCAGAGCGATGAACAGTTACACAAAGGATCTTTGTGTGTCTGAGTGTTTGAGCAGGTGCCAAGTTAAAACACCTGCTCAGTTCCTTCTTCTTTACAGAACTTATGGTACTTGACACACCTCTTACTGGAGCCTCCATGGCGTCTTGGCATTTGAAATAAAATCCTGAAACTTTGTTGTTGCAACTTGTGATGTTAGACTGAACTTGGCTGCAGCCTTTTGTTAGTTTTTCATGTGTGCAGTGTATTATTCCTCCCTAAAGTCTTGTGCACTTTGCTTAAAAATGCTCAGTTACTAGAAATCTGCCCATTTTTCTTTGTGGAAACTTCACACGTTAGTCTTGAGTTTCTGTTCCGCTTGCAGTCATGAAATGTGTGCTCCCAAAATAAACTGTTGATGTGCCTGCTCCCGTGTTTGTCCTCAGACACTCTCGCCACTGGACATCTACCCCAGAATCCTCGACTTCCGCCCTGTGACCATAGCGTCGTTCACCATGACGCTGGCTCGGACCTGCCTCTGTCCCCTGGTGTGTATTTACACTGGGACACACATTCACTGTGGCAGCTCTGTTGTTCTGCAGGAGGAATTATGGAACCACAGAATCGCCACAACGTTGGCCACAAGCAAAACCTTAACCACCATTTACACACCTAAAACAGCTTTGGCCAGCTGGTTAGTTGTTCTTTTTCTCCATTTTGTCTCACCTAGATTGTTGGCAGGGGAAACGATCAGGTGGCCCTGAGCTCCAAGTTTGAGACCAGAGAAGACTTCGGTAAGTAGGACAGTCTTCAGCTTTATTTATTAGAGGATGATGCCCAAAAGGCAGCATCACAGTATCAGCAGAAACACAACATATTAAAATACTCTGACCTTTTTCTGTTTCCAGCTGTGATTCGTAACTATGGTAACCTGCTTCTGGAGATGTCTGCCATCGTTCCTGATGGCATCGTGGCATTTTTCACCAGCTACGTCTACATGGAGAACATCGTGGCGTCTTGGTATGAACAGGTCCGTATGTGCACAGTGACGGTGTGCCGGCTCTTTTTAGTCCTAGGCTGTCTTCCCACTTCCAACAATAAAATATGCACATCATTACAACAGGGCAGTAATTGTGTCAGCAGTCCTTTGGTAGAAATAGTTTTATTCTGAAGCATTTTTCATTTTATATTTGCCTTATTTCTGTGTAGATGGAAAAGCACTAATGTTTCTGTGTATGTGTGTCTGCAGGGCATCCTGGAGAATATCCAGAGAAACAAGTTGATCTTCATTGAGACTCAGGATGCTGCGGAGACGAGCATGGCCCTGGAGAAGTACCAGGAGGTCAGAGTGCAAACTGACTCAGAAGTTTCTGTACTGCAGATCATACTGGTCCTGATGGCTCTCAGCCCTTTGACCTTTCTCTGTCTCTGCTCAGGCGTGTGAGAATGGCAGAGGAGCCATCCTCCTGTCCGTGGCCAGGGGAAAGGTGTCTGAAGGGATCGACTTTGGTAAGTGATCCGATGGGCAGCAGGTTTCTCTGGGTCCAAACAACCAGTGTTTTCACTTGTAACAGGTTTACGTGAGCGCTTCGGCTTTTCAGCATATTAACAATGAATCTTGTTGTGCTTTCTGTTCAGTGCATCATTTCGGCCGGGCGGTCATCATGTTTGGCATGCCTTACGTCTACACCCAGAGCCGCATCCTGAAGGTCAGAACTCAGAACTCAGTCTGAAGTCACACCCCCCCCTCCATCATTTTCAGTTTATTTACCATATAATTCACTCAGTGGAAGAAAATACTAGTGTTTGGTTTGTACCACGATGCTTCTTGTCACATTTATAGAGAATTACCTTGGTGCGACTCTCCACCTTCCAGCAGACACAAAACGATGATTAGCAAGTGTCAGAATATACAGGTAATATTGAATAAGTGAACGAGGGAGTGATTTCAAACGCAGCCCTTTTCTTTACTGTGCTCATAACAGTTGGCAGTTTATTCAGTTTGTTCAGTGTCTTGCCCAAGGACACTTAAGACACGTGGACTGCAGGCACTGAGATTCAAACCTTCAACCTTCTGGTTGGGAGACGACCTCTCTACCCACTGAACCACTGTCCCCTCCCCCCCCGGTTGTTTTGGAGAGACATTGATTCACCTGTATGGATCAAACACTGGAAACACTTCTACAACACACACAGTTCAGCAACGCCACAAAGTACATCAAATCAACAGCCCTCTCACAGAGTTGGAACAGAAATGGAGCAGGCAGAAAGTTCGAGCTAGGCTAGGTGTGCCTAATAAACTGGTAACTGAGTGTACACGTTAGACAGGTTAGGTGACTGGGCCAAAACACTTGGAAAGATAATTCAGTTCTGATAAAATACAGATGGTAAAATGCTCAAATGTAATGTTTATTAACTTTGTCAAAAAGGAAGGAGTGTACTCCACCTACGTTTACGACATTGTTTTGCCATCACTGTGTTTGTAACTTTTTCTTCATGAACACACCTCCCAGGCCCGTCTGGAGTACCTTCGGGACCAGTTTCAGATCAGAGAGAACGACTTCCTGACGTTCGACGCCATGCGTCATGCAGCCCAGTGTGTGGGCAGAGTCATCAGAGGCAAGACCGACTACGGGCTCATGATCTTTGCTGACAAGGTGTGTGGTGCTTCTGCCCCGTCTAAATGTCCTGATACTGCAGTACTACAACATGCCTTTAAATACAGCTGGCTGAATATGGATCAGTATGCAGTAACTCCCTCTCCCATCTGCAGCGTTATGCCCGTGCAGACAAACGCGGGAAGCTGCCTCGCTGGATTCAGGAACACATCAGTGACAGCAGCCTGAACCTCACTGTGGACGAGGCCATCCAGCTCTCCAAGCACTTCCTGCGGCAGATGGCTCAGCCCTTCAGACGGGTACGCCTTACAGATGCTAAATCTCACCAGGTCGTCAGAGGGCTTGTTTTAGGGGCCTTTTAAAGCTAGAGGAGCAAATACAACAACTTTTTAATGTGCAGCAGCTTTATCTTCATTTAAGTTGCTCAGGGCTGCATAGTGAATCGGATGATTAACCAGAGGTCCTCAGCAGCGTTAGGATGTCTAATGGTACGTTAACTGAGGTTCCCCCCCCCACTGTCTGCTAACCCCAGTGACAGTGGGACATGGTGTCTCTCAGCTACACCCCCCCTCCATGACCCTCTGCTGCCTACAGCCTCCTGTTGTTATTCCAGCTTCTCCGCCCTGTGTTGTCAAAGTGCGGTCTGTAAATCAGCCCCGCCTGCCACCTAGCCAAGGTTAGAAGAAGGGTTTTTCCAAACGGTAGTCATGTCAAACAGCCATGGGAGCTCTGGGAGGCTAAAGGTCTGAACCAGCAGCTTCCAGACTCAGACTGGCTTCAGATGTGGCCTTCTTCCTTCTGGATGTGTTAGCATCTAAAGCTAGCGTGCTTGTTTTGGTAGCATTAGCTAGAGCTTTGTGTCACATTAGCAGTAACCAGTGTTCTACTGCTGTTAGTCAGCTAACACTAGCTTCAGACGGGAGGCTGCATTTTGTACAGTTTGTCCCAAGCAGGTACCTGTAGTTCACATTGTAGCTTCAGGAAACAGGATGTGATGGGAGGGGCAGCTTCAGTCTCACTGGACCCTCTAGGCTGAAAGGAAGTCAGCTTGAGCCGCATTAACAACTCCCCTTCCTGTGTCTCACCCCCTGTTTCCCCAGGAGGACCAGCTGGGTCTGTCTCTGTTGACTCTCAAGCAGCTGGAATCGGAGGAGATGCTGCAGAAAATCACTCAGATTGCTCATCAGACTTGAAGGCGGCAAACACTGCAGCATGTCTTCACCATGGCACTGCCCATTATGGGGTCAGCAGCTGAACCTCTGCTGGGGGCCAGATGTGTATGATTTACCACATCTGGACTGTTCAGATTTAAGAAAACAGTCAGGTTGTTTTCCTCAGTGTGGCAAACAAAACATGGAAAGTGGTTATAGTATTGACTTCTGCCTGGAAGCTGCCGGTCGGTGCCGGGGTTAAACACCATCACAGGCCCATATTTCAGGTCACATACTGAGTTTACACAATACTAGGACCGCAGCTCCCACTCTGACCAGTCAGACCACCATGATAAATCGACTGTGAGCGTGATTGATCCCTGTGTGATTTCAGTCTCACATGACAATGATTCTACTGTTTGCATTAGCAGGGAGACGCCTTGCATCAAACCAAGTGCTCCCTTTTCCTTGCTAAGCTGCGTTAACCAATAACCGCAAAGTGATTTATTCCTGCCTCAACTTCATTCAGCACTTGATGGCTACAGCTCATCATGTGACGTAACGCCTTCCTGCTATTGATTAACATGGCTTAGAGAAGAAAAGTGAGCACTTGGTTTGATGCAAGGCGTCTCCCTGCTAATGCAAACACAGCAGAATCATTGTCACACGAGACAGAGATCTGAATCACACTCACACGACGATTTATCGTGCAGCCCCACCAGATTGTGACAGGACTGTTTCCCTAGAATCGTGACGGCTCGGTTCAGGGCCGTGCCCAACTTTTACTTTTTTTTAACTCTTAGTTTATGCAAATGACTGCTCACTGAACAACTTCAGTTGTACATTGGCACTTGGAACCTCTGAGCAGTGTAAAACAGTTTGTGCCTCTGGTGGTCGGACTAAAGTCTCATTCAGTTTTTCTCAGTGTTACATGTAAAATGGATTTTGAGTTTATGGAGCTGCTCCTCACTGTGTGTAGCATTACTGCTGATATAACGGGAATTAATTTCCATTACGATCCAACAAGTTTTACTAGCATGTTCTATTTTAGAGCATTTTCAGAGCTGCTGGAGTTTGTGAAGAAAGAGTTGACTTCTGAAACAAACTAAACATGTTGCAGTGTTTTAAAGAATTAAACAATGTGAATGTGTCAATATGTTCATTAGAGATTTTCTCCATCTGTGACTAACGTCAGTCAGTAACTGTGCATTGTCACATTTTATACCGAACTGAAATATGTATGTTTTTTGGAAAATAAATGTTTGTATTTAACAGCCGACTGTCTTCTGTTTCCTCCTCTTAGGAAAGTGCTTTCATTTTGGCGATACATCGCTCAGCCTGACCACATCAAGGCTAGGGCGAATATCTGAGCGTAATAGTTTGGCATTAGCTTTTCAAACAATCTAAACTAGCAGCCCCTTGAACAACCACTTCTCAAACCCAAAAGTCTGAAACATACTTCATACAAGTACACAATTCATTTCAGGCACTGTTGCCTTCTTGTCCTAACGTGACAAAAGCGCAAGTTGCAGCCTGAGCGTTGCCGTTATGAGGCACAGTAGTATGAAACAGGAAGTCGAGTCCTTCTGTTCAGGTTAACTTGCACTCAAAACAACCAGTTCAATGAAGCGCCAGCTTGACGTTGGTATGTACAGACATATTTGTGATACTTTGTCAGCTCGTTCAGCTCAGTTCAGACAAGATCACAGCTGAAAACTCTTCAGTCGAACTGCTCTAAACCACACTAAGTACAGTTGTGGACGTTCCTCCACACAGGCCATGTGTGTTTAGTACTGTGGTCATGGAAACGTTCTGAGCGTCAGCCGGCTGTTATCACTGCCTTGTGGACTGACCTCTAAGAGCGCATGTTGACTATGTTCACCAGAGACGTGTGCTGGGCCTGGCGATGTCGTTTGTGTCTGCATACTTGTGTGAAGTATGTTTCTGGTCTGAAAGATATAAAACCAATTATTTCCATAAAAAAAAAGAACATGCACTAAATCTACGAGGGTATTGACACGTTACAGTAATTTATTTCTGGTCGTCTGTCAATATAAAACATTCATAGTTACCAGAACACAAAACGGCATCAGCAGAGTATCTACAGATTTATTTTTTTTTTTTTTCTAGAGATGTCCCAGTCCCAGTATCAATCTGGCTATATTTCACGGGATCGGGATCGGACAGGACTAGCCAATCCAGTTCCGATCCGTATTTGAACGGACTCAGTATTGTTTTTGAGATGCACACTTCACACATCCAGTAAGCTGCTGTATTAATCAATCTAACTCTCTGCACTGCCCAATATCACTCACACTTTACAACCTAGTATGTTTTATACTTTTGTCCAGTGGTACTACGACACCTTTTGTTAATGCAGGGTTACTAAATGTCAGACCGCGAGCTCTAAACTGGACTGGTTACCCAAACTGTGTTCACATATGGATACGAAGTAGTAATGACTCTGTAGGTCAGAGCATGTTGTCCAGCTACCAGTCATTCTTTTATTCATATCAATAATTTAAGCTCAAACTTAATATTTTGGAAACGGCACCTGATCCAGTGTTTAGATCAAGAAGCTCCTGAAAAATACAGCGTGCCAGTAATGAACATTTACTGTAGGTAAATATGTGTCAGATCAGAATCAGTATCATCAGATACTTAATATTAAGGAATCAGATTGTATCGGAGCCAAAACAAACGGGATTGGGACATCCCTAATTATTTCCCTATTTTGTCCAACATTCATACAAATGCTTAATTTAGCTGAAACTGTTTTAGACAAACTAAGTGCAAATTCAGCCTTTACAACAAACAGCAGTGACTTCTACCACAGCAAATGTCTAATCAGCAGTTCAGGGACAGAGTATTTTGAATATATGGGAATGAGGATTTCCTAGCAGCATTTTGTTACCTTATTAAACATTCGGAAATGTTAAGGTGTGTACAGTAGTTAATGCGCTCTCTATTAAGAAGCAGTCACTTTTGTGTTTCCACAGCTGTAGCCATGTCACTACTGCTGTGGAAACCTAACCAGTGGTACATCCTGTACTTCCCTTAACCATCACCAAGCGTAGCCTCTGGTGTTGACGCCGACCGTCCTGCTTTGTTTTTCCACTGTATTTTCTCTGTCGGCCTCTAAGAAATCTACACATCATTAAAAGCTAGTTGACCTTTATATTAGTGGTTTTCCTTGTTTGCTGGATTTTAGGAATGTTTAGCTAAATGACAGACTAGGGTACACCAGTAATTTTGGGTGTCTGTGTAGCTTTTAGCTATTTTCTGAATAGGCTAGACAGTTAAAATCTCAATAAAAATGTAACTAGTAAATAAATTAGTTAGCAGAATTTTTAATATATACTTTAGGACATTTAGGAATGTCGCTTGATCAATTTTTACTCTTAACTTTGAGAATATATCAAGTGAATAAATCTCTTTAAAGTCAGGATTTTAGTTTGTCCTAATTTGAATCATGTGGAATGACAAAACAGCTGGAGTAAACACACTTGTGTTTTTCTGGAAATGTAATCTGCACATTGTAAAGGAAAACTGACCACATTTTAAATAAATGTAATATAAACTTCATAGCTTAAACATCTCCCTTGTCAACCAAATGTGCTATTTACATTTTGATCATTGCGTTTCAAGAAAAATTTAAGATTTGTTTTTAAAAATCTTCAATGAGCCTGTTTAACATCATTTGATAACTTTTTTAGTGCCGTTAATCTAACTGTACCCAAAACTGATTTTTATTGCAGATTACTATAAACTGTATTTAACCTGCAAATATTTTCCTACAGTGTAAACACTGGTAGTATTTTATGTGTTTAACTTTTTATTAAACACAAAAATCCTTAAGTCAATGGTTAACTCATGATCAGGAAGCTGAAATAGTTTCTAATCTACCCAGGAAGGTAAAAGGTAAATGTCAAGATACAGTCGATATGTGACTCGCCCCCTTATCATCACTGGAGACAAACAAGTCTTTGTTATTCAAACTTAAATTTCCTCCAGGATGAAGAAAACTGTAAAGACCCATTTTAAAGCAACGGATCAATAAGATGCATGTGCCAGGCACATTTTGACAACTATCTTAGTTTTTCTTGTGGGAATCTATTTGGTGTATCTGATCGGAGCGACTGCTACAGGGCTGGGGGTTGATTTCTGCTAACAATGTCCTGTGATGTATATTCAGTAGAAAGTGTGTGTGTGTGTGTGTGTGTGTGTGTGTGCGCGCGTTAGCTGGTTCCACTGAGTGAACCTCGTCTCGTCAAGTTCTGGGTGCTGGAGCTCAGGCCTCGAATGTTTGTCAAACGGCTCGACTGAGAACAAAAGCAAAACACATGATGCGTGTTAACATGACTGGATATGCATCTTAAGTCAAAGGTGTTGTAATCGCTTAACGAAGACGTGTGTGTTTACATAAACATGAGTATCCTCGTTATGATCACAGTAGCCTGTTTGTCTTTTGACCCTAAAGTGTAATTTAGATGGTGGTGGACCAGTTATGGTAGAGGATGCCGGCGTGGTGCACCGTCTTTTTCATTAAGAAACACTAACTACAGTTATCAAATGTTTTCCTAATTATAAATCAATATCAGAGCCCTGTGACAGACTAGCAACCTGTCCAGGGTGGACCCTGGGATTGGCTGCAGCCCCCCCCCCGTTCTGTTTTGGTTCCATGCTTGAGTTTAGCTCATAGAATAAATCACAAATTAAATCACTGAATCACTTAATGCTACAAGTGCACGTTACTGTGGTTAAATGGATGGACGCCTGCTCACCTGAGCGCTGTCCTGACTCTCTCTGGCACCAACATTTAACACGTTCAGAGAGTTTGCCCTCTTCATCCTGTAAACAGGACAGAATATCGTTATGAATGGCTACAACATCAGTAAATGCACAGAAAACAATATTACCCAGCATTCCTTGGGGTTGTTTCCTCCACTGCGATGCCTCTCAGCTTGCGGACCAGTTTCTCACTACTCCGGCGAATCGACTCCCTGAGCATGGTGAAGGAGCCGCTGCGCTTCATGCCGCCGCCGTCCGCGGTGCCGGACCAGGTGGGATGACCGTCACCTGGACGACAAACAAGCGTGTGACCAACGTTTTGTAGCACAGCTGTGATTCAAACAGGAAGAAGACAACTTGTGCTCCATCACTTTAGATTTTTTTTGTTTTGTAATTTAAACCTCTCAACTTTTGAAAGTTCATGAGCAGTGAAAATCCCCCGTCTTGGTTCAGGACTTGCAGAAGTTTGACCTGTTCTGGTGTGACCAGCGCTTACTGTAGCTAAAGGCCACAGACTAAGCTTAGAGCAGACAGCAGTTCACTTCTTTATTGTCCTGCAAAATGTTTTTGTAGCAGAAATTCAAACACTACAATAAACCTGAAGTTGTCCAGTCTGGTGGCTCTTCTCTGCTCCTGTTACACTGTGTGTTAGTGTACACCACCGGCCCCGTAGCGCCTATTCCAACCCCCATAAAGAAAGGTTTCCCTTTACTGTGCACCGTCGCCTGCTGCGTCACAGCTACAGCTTGTTCACAGTTAAGCAAGGAGAGGTTTCTGTACAAATGTCATTTAGTTTCTTCTTTGCTGGTTTCACCTCCAGAGTAGTGACTTTAGAGAACGTCACACCTGATTCAAACATTATGGTTATAATAAACCAAAATGACAAATCCACATCATTTTAAAAAACAAACAAGCCTAAAATCATTGTTTTGTACCTGCTACAGATACAAACTCCTTTTCATGGGCTCTGGTCAGAATTTCTTTGTACAGAGCTTCAGCTTGTCCGTATTTTCCCTGCTTCAGGTAGCATGATGCCTGAGGACGACAGAGAAATGAGTGTTAAAAGTGTAAAAAGACACTGTGTGAAACTCGGTGAGGAAACCTGAGGAGCAGCGTCTCACCAGGTTGTTCTTGGTCTTGGCTACATTGGCGTCGTCCGGTCCCAGTTTGCTCTGGTAGATGTGCAGAGCACGTTCGTAGTACTGTTCCACCTCCTGGTACTTCCCCTGGTTCTGACACAGCAGGGCCAGGTTGTTCAGCTGCTTGGCCACATCGGGGTGGTCTGTGCCCAGAACCTGGGGGAGGAGGGCATTCGGACACACAGTGTGACTGATGCAGCTTAGAGGAGACGTAGATATAATGGATGCCTAAAGTCTGGAGAACAAAAAAAAAAACCACGAAAGAGGACAGAGCTACTGGAACTCACTGCCACTCCGTGTGGCGCATCTTGAAAAACAAATCGAGAATACCCAAAAAACAGACATTAGAAAATATTAACTAGTCATTCGAGCAGCAGACTTGGATGCACGATGTATCGAGCTACATGTCAGCGAAAAGCTCTGGCTTTAGTTGAGGAGGAGACGAGCTGCAGCAAAGACGAAGAGGGTGTGGGTCCGCCACAATCAGGGGATGTGTTGGTGTTGTCACAGAGCGCTGTGCCCATGTTAAACCTTTTTTTTTTTTTACTTGAGCACAGGACGGCACGCGCAACCTTGCACTGCGCTCAGCTCAACGGAGTGCAGATACGTTCTTGTGCCGCGCAACACAGAAATGACTGGGTTCGATAAGGCGGCGCCCACCACGTCCCATCTGAAAAGGCCTTTAGGGAGTGAATAAACTGTGAGGTGCACGTACAGTCATGCGTTTTCTTACCTTCTCTCTGATCTCCAGAGCTCGTTTACACAGTGGCTCAGCTTCCTTGTTTCTTCCTCTTTTCCCATAAAGCACTGCCAGGTTGTTGAGTGTTGCTGCCACCTGTGCACGCGCACACACACGCACACAGAGTGTATAGAACAGCACCGACAGTATTCAGAGCCCTTCACTTTATGCACACTTATTTCTAAAACCATGTTTTGACTGTCATGAAGTTAAATGTACAACACAAAGTGAGGTCTGAATAGTTTTCTACTGTGTAAAGCTCATTAAACCGTCTCATTACCGATATGGACCCACAACAATAATGACACTATCTTAGGGTTTATTAAGAGGAGTGGAACTTACAGCTGGGTGGTCCAATCCAAGAGTTTTCTCCCTGATCGCCAACGCATCATTCAGCAGGTTCGTTGCTTCTTTGTACTTGTTCTGGTCTCTGTAGAAAAAAAAAAAAAAGGTTTGTCACCTCAAATCAGACTTTTCATACAAAGTCACATGGTTTTAGTCCATCGAGGTCCTTGTTCTAAACAAGAAGAACCGTAGCTTGGTCAGTTTTATTAGTGAGTCACACGATTTCATATTTGCTCACTTTAATCAATACTGAGCTTTGATTATAAAAGGTTTAAGTTTGTTGGAGTATCGATGAAGATGCAGGTACATAAACACACACTATTCCAGAAAATAATATTCTACAATATATGGGTTGGTGACAAATGAGAGGAAAATCCTGAACATCTGAGTGGAGACACAAACAGCAGGGTCACTGATCAATCAGCTGATCGTCGTCTTGATGATC